TGACTTATCACTGGAATGACCTTGACCAAGTACTTAACTTTTTAGTTTTAGTTTTAGTTGTAAAATGGAACACACACACACACACACACACACACACACGTTGCTTTGTTGTGGTGATCAGATAAAATAATAGCTTGTGAACCTATCTTCCTAAAATATTAGAAAATATGAGGAAAATCATTTCCGAAGTGGCTACCACTGGCACAGTTTTTCTTACTACACAATGCTGCATGTTTTGATTAGCAAAAAAAAAAAAATTATATGGAAAAGATTCAAAGTCTTTTCTTTGTACTTACCTAGGGAAACAAAATACAGTTGGTACCTCTACTTATCTCTAGTAGACCACATTAGTACTCATGTGGGCTCTTTGGCTGAGTCTAGAAACCCAACTAATATGTGAGATGATTAACAGAAAAACATAAAATTTCTATTAATTTTACATTCATATGAAGAGTTTCACAGAAAAGTGAAGAAATGACCAATGTACCATTCCTTTAACTTTTTAGATCAGGGGTTTGCAACCCCGAAGCCAGAGATCTGTACTGTCCATGGCCTGTTAGGAACCAGCCCACAGAGTAGGATTGAGCAAGGTCAAGAGTGAGTCTTCATCTGTGTTTACAGCCTCTCCAGGTAGCTGGCGTTACCACCAAAGCTGTCTCATGTCAGATCAGCAGCGACATTAAATCCTCACAGCAGCATGAACCCTACTATCAACTTCATGCAAAGGATGTACGTTGTGCACTCATTATAATCTAATGTCTGATTAACCAAGGTGGAGCTGAGGAGATGCTAGCACTGGGGTCCATCTATCAAAAAATTGTCTTCCACGAAACTGGTCCCTGGTGACAAAAAGGTTGAGGATTTCTGTCTTAGGCAATTATAAATTTGTGCAGGAATGAAAAGACAAAGATATTTGAACCAGGGTAATAAACTGTGGGGCTTTTACTAAAATATATACATAGGGGGATGGAGAAGCTACCCTAGCAGAAGGTAAGTCTTTATATCAGAGAGTTTGTTTACTCAGGTTCATTGCAGCCCCACTTCTCAATGTCTGGTGATAAAGGCTTTTTTCCACCCTTGGTATGTGAAGGACATCCCTCCAGAAACAATATGGCTTGTTGAATGTAGTGAAAGACAGGCCAAAGGGCCCTTTCTGAAGTTAGTTGCACAAGTGATTTCAGTTTGAAAAATCAATATGCCAATTTGACATATTTTAAGATGGCACACCAACGCTTTCAATTTAAATCTGGCTATCAGATAATAGCTGTGCAACCTTGGGAAAGTTACTTTTTTGTGCCTCAGTTTGGTAATACGTAAAATGTTGATATTTACACTACATATTACAGTGTTCTTAAAAGGATCAAATGAAATACTACTTGTATAGCGCTTGGAATATAGTATAAATACTCGTTAATTTAACAAAATTGACCATAACAAGTAGGAAGAACATACTGAGAAACTTCTAGTTACCACTGATTTCGTTACTAGTGAGTTTAAAAAAAAATAAATTAGAAGACATTTTCTCAGTTTACTCTAAGTCAACAGGTATCCACTGAACATCTACTGTGTTTGGTGCTCTGAGGACACAAAATAAATTCCATCCCTCCAGAAGTTAACCTGTCTATTCTAAATTTGTAATAAATGTGTCCAGAGTACAATTCAAAGAAATATAGAACATAAAATAGTAGAGGTCCACATAAATTATCTAATAAAGCTCACAGCAAATTCAGGCGCTCTAAGCTACATATTAATATACAACTAACAGCTGGGCATTTTTTTGAAATCTACACAGAAATTTGCTAGATACAATGATGCAACAGAAGATCTACAAAAATAACATTATTTTCCTTTATCGCTCCCTGGGACATCTGACAAAACGTGACGGAGCCACCAGCTAAGAGCACAGCAAGAGAACACCGTCCTGGACGCTTGTAAGGATAGGTGAGCCGAGTTTAAGAACCGGAAACAATGTGGTGGGTTCTGCGAATATCTAGATCTGCAAGGGAAAGAAGCTCCAACCGCAACGGTGACTGGAGACCAGGCATTTCTCCAATGAAATGAGGCAGGCGGGGCCCGCAGGGTGCAGAAGCGAGACTCAGAGGCGTCCCCGTCCGCACTCATGTTACCTCCAACCGGACAGGGACGTTCCTGGGAGGAGCAGGCAGGCTGAGTGGCCCACCACGAAAGCAAGCCGAGCCCCTCACGGTACCGCCGGGCCGCTCCAGGGCACGGGGCGCCGGGCCGAGGAGGGATCGATTTGCATTCTCTCGGCTAACGGTTTCGAGGCTGCCATCCTTGACTTCGGAGACCGGCCTGACGCGGCCGCCCGAGCTACAACCGCGGACCTGCCCTCACCCCGCTACCTCGCCTTTGCCCCCGCCCCCGCCGCCGACGTCACTTCCGGCGCAGAGGTGCACCAGGGGCCGGGCGGAGCCGGGAGCGCGGCCGCCGGGAGCGCGCGGGGAGGCGGGCAGGGGGAAGGGGGAGTGTCCGCTCGCTGCTGCCGCCGCCGCCGCCACTGCTACTGCTACTACTGCAGCAGCTGCCTTGGACTTCGCCGAAGCCCTTGGCTCGGACCTGGCCCGGTCTTCTCGCCCGGACTCCCGGCCCCAGCGTGGGGCGCACTGTTCGCGCCGAGCGGTGCAGAAGCAGGAGTTGCCTCGGACTGTGAGGCGGCGGGGACGGCCCCAGCCCCCCGTTCCCCTCCCTGACCCCTTCTTGCCATCGCCCCCGTCATGGGGAACGCGGCGACCGCCAAGAAAGGCAGCGAGTTGGAGAGCGGTGAGTTGAGGGCTGGGTCGGGGTTCCCGTCGTGCGGGCCAGCTCCGACCCCTGCGGGTCGGAGCCCCCGAGGCCGCGGGCAAGGTTCAGGCCTAGCAGCGGCCCTGGAGAGCGGTTCCGGGGGCCCGGGCCAGCTGCCTTCCTCCCCCGCCCCTCCCTCAGCGCGGGCCGGAGCCCAGCGCCTGGCCGGACGGAGGGAGCAAGGGGCCTGGAGTCCCTTTCGCGCCGGAGCGAGGAGGACCGCGCGAAATCTGGAACACTTCCCCAAAAATGGTCCGGGGAAAGAAGTCTCTGTGTCCCTGCATACCTCGATTATTCCACTCCCAATACCGGATCCCCTCTTGGGAGCTACAGGTAGTGCTGTGGACAGAGTTGGCTCTTTTCCCACCATCACTTGAGGCCAACCCAGGCTTCTCACAAGATGAGGGCTGCGCGTGTGGCTGTCTGCAGGTGAGGTTAATCCCGAATCTTAGAGATCTTCCATCTCCAGAGTTGGGATGGAAACATACGCCAAACTGCACCTTTATATATTAGAGAAAAAGGCGGAGCAGGTTTGCTTTTTCTATAGACAGCCAAGAATCTGCTGCGATGCCTGTAAAACTTCAAAGTCTTTTGGAGTTGGAAGTGCTTCCAGAACACAGTTGATTTCTTCTGAAAGCTGAAAGCGCGGGCATTCTACACTTCACATCAAACAGTAAAAAAAAGTCATGAAAGTCGAGTTCCTTTATGACGATGTGGTTTTATACACAGATACATGTGTAAGGGAATGGTTGTGAAAGAAAACAGTGGTATGCCTTTGTAAGTCATATTTGATTTTATAATTCAGAATGACTAAATAACAGTATTTGCTATTTGTTGTATACCAGGACATCTCAGCATTTGAAGTGAACCTGGTAATTTAGTCAGATTCATGTAAATAATGTTTCTATGGTCGTAACAATAAGGCTAATTTTAATTCAGCTTGAAGAAAACAGCGTTTAACTGTAAAAGGATCAATTTAGGATTTAGTCATTCATTTTGTTTAATGTGAATAATGAGATCAGATTATGGTTTATATGTCATCAGTAAGATGTGTTAATTTTTAAGACCTGCAGAAAAGTTTGATGAACTGTCATACAAACTATTAATGAAATTGCTTTTGTATGTAATACGGAGAGTTTTAAAAGCCACAGTAGAAGTAGAACTTACGTTATTTTATTTTTAATTGCTCAAATGTTATAACCAACTGTACAAAAGTGTAAAGAATGCAGAATTATTTGTATCTGACAAATTGTCATTTCCCTGTTAATTTAAAGTTCTGTTAAAGATAAAACTTTTGCTAATAGTATTACAAAAGTGTTTGATAATTAAATCATGTCAGTGATTTCCATTAGCATGGCCTATCCTATACAGTGTTTATATTTTTAATAGCCAGAGTACGCCTTTTTTTTAACCTATATATTTTTGTTACTAAGTTACCAAAGCAGTTAGACCTTAAACATTAACTTGAAACTTTTGGCTGTGACATAATTTTGAAATATTTGCAGAAAACAGAGTGGCAACCTAAATATATTTTAATTATTTTTATGAATAAATTCCTTCCAGAGTTCTAGATCTTAAGTATGTTAGCCAGCTTTTTAGGTATTGATGTAGCTAATATATCAATGTAATGGTTAGAGTTAATAGTCAGGACAACTCTCACCATTACATACCTATTCTGTGGTTTATTTACGGAAACTGAAAGTCATTATAATAATTTGAAAAAAATGATGTGAAGTGACAACAAAAGGTAGCAGGTGATGTTTCCGAGGGAAAGTTATTTGAAATATCCTGTGTTGATCAATGTTTGTAGTTTCATTTGGAGCAATATTATCAAGTGTATGTTGCTATTCTACTGCAGTGAACAAAGAAATTGTATTGTTTTAAAACTTAGTGAAGAATGACTCTTATTTCATACCTAATTGTTTTGTGTATTTTTCAGAAGAAATACTCTTGAAACTTTGTTCTTCAGAATTAAAATGTAGTTAAAGTTCAGTTGACACTTAGAATAAACTAAGAAGTATAAGTGATCACAGAGATCAGCCTGTGTAATCATTCCATTTGAAAGCCAATGTACCTGACCTCTGAGGAAGCTGTAGTTGAGATGATACTGTTAATAATGACACAGAGTATGGAACAGATCTGTTACGTTGACTCCATTTTGCATCACTAAATAATCTATACATGTGCTTTCACAGTATTTACCAAGTGTTTTAATTTCAGTTGGGGACCCTGTAAGCAAAAGCTTAAAACCTTTACCATCTCGTGTGAGAGAGAGATGTACCTGTAACAGTTAACTGAAAGGTAAAATGTTTAAGTGCTAACATTATGAAAGTAAAGTTAGAACTCTGAAAATTACCAGTAAATGTTTAAAGAATTGGTTTAAAAATATCAAGTTGATTAAGATTTAAGTTTCTTTAGGGCCAAGCCTCGCACAGACAGGTGATTCCAGAGCTTAGTTCTAGAAATACTCCAAAAGAATAAAGTACTCCAGAAGAATAGAGATAATTGACAAGGGGTTTGGCTGGCTTTGACTATCTGGTGCCTGTGTTGTCCTCTGTTAAAACCAGCTTCTCTAATACATGTGACAATTTCCTGGGCTAAGAGGTGAGAACCAGGGAAATTCCATTCTCGTGTCCACAGTTTCTGGAGATAATATTAATTTGGATACCTGTTGTTCTGCTGTAGCAAACTAGGATACTGTATTGATGTAGCTCATATGTCAATGCAATGGTTAGAGTTAACAGAATAACTCACCATACCTGTTTTATGTAGTTTAAAAAATTACTCTTGAAAATAAGTGCCTTAAAAATTTGAATGGAGTTATTTAAACATCACCTAAAATATAGAAGCATAGAAGCATAAACTTAGAAAACTGTGATAGTTCAATTCTGAGATATTGTAAACTCTTGTCATTCAAGATTGTTTTACTTATTCTGTCTCCCACCTTTTACTTACCAACAGTCACCAACACAGAAACACAGGCAATTCTTTTAACTTGGAGGGAAATTTTTATTTTCTTTTAAACATTAAGTCTACAGACTGCCTATGGGGCTTTGTACTACATATTCATAATAAAGGTGTTGAAGCTTATGGATGAGAAGTGTTGATGAAGTTTTGGATGTAGATTCTCCCATGATTGCAAGTGGTAAAGCTACCCTGCAGCCTAGGGGTTACATAATAGTCTTTGATTGTTTTTCCAGAGAATCTGTTTTAAGAGCTTGAAGGGAAATAGAAATTAACCAGAGAAAGTCACCAATAGATTATGTTCAACAAAAAGGCAAGTTTCTTAACTAAACTTTTTTGAGAACTGATAATATGCCTGTTTCTCCAGCTGCTTCCTATACAATATTCTACATAATCTTTCCAACTTGGTGAAGTTGCTCAGTTATTTCTTGGTATACAGATGAAGAAATGGAGGCTCAAAGAATTTAACTTATTTAAGGTTGTAAAGCAAGTAGGTCAAAGAGCAACATTTGAATTTAGGCAAGCTAACCCCAAAACCACAGTTTACATCAAGTAGATTAGACTTTGTTTCAGTTTATTGTCAGTTATAACACTTTTTGGTTGCTTTCAATAATGGCTTTATTTCAACGTATTAAATATCTTACGTGAGAAAGATTATTTTTCCTGTACCATTCTCTGCATTCATTTTCGTTACCTGTAAACTGAGGATGAAATTACCCTGAAAGGCTTTTCAGATTCAGCATGGTAAAATTTCAAATTAGCATAAAGAACTAATTTTATATACTTAAAGCTTCAATTGTTATTTTTTCTCATTTGTAAATATATACATTCTCTTCCTGTTAAGTAGCTAGCCAAAAAATTTTTAATTTGTATTAACATTTTAAGAATATTTAGAATTTCTCATTTTCCCATAGATTAGAACATTGTGCAACCCAGCGTCTGTGATGATGGAAATGTTCTCCAGTTGAGCGGCTGAAATGTGGCTAGTGCCACTGAAGAACTGAAATTTAAACTTTTAGTATTTGGTATGTTGCACAACACAGGTGTGGAACAAAGCTGCTTTGCCTATAATAAAAATGCTAACCTTTCTGTAATTTTGCTAATTTGTGGGTCTTCGTCAAGTATGTGTAAAGGAACAAAATTCTGAATTAGTTTTTCTCATGACATTTTCTACAAATAGCCATTTATAAACTTAGTGAATGAATTTTTATAATTTAGTAATTTATGTATCATTTACAAAGTTAAATTTTTTTTGAGCTGTGCTAGAATTAAAATTTTATAGTTTTTAATACTGAATTTCAGTGAATATACTTTTATTGAAAAAGCTTTTTGTAGACTCATTGATTAATAACAAATTTAATGATCTATCTTATGTCTTTAAACCTTTATTTGTCAGACCTATTTTTAGTATGATCAGTAGCAGATATTCGTTCCAGTTCAGTAGATTGGCAGAGGTATTTGGGAATGGACTTCCCAAGTCAAAACAGTTACACAGTTTTTATGATAAATGCTTACGATCTCATCTAGTTTGATGGTTCTATAATTCTTTTTGTGCACATTATTTCCTGTATAAAATTATCTCATATTCAGGAACCATTTTTTCTGTTCTTTTGCTCAGGGTCCTTTGCTTAACATATAGACAGATTATTGCTTTTCATTGCTAGCAGCATGAAAGCCAGCATAGGAAGATAAGCCATACCTGAGGGACAGAAGCAGCACTTGAGAAGATCCTAGGTAAGCCAGGATAGTTATTAGATCCTCTCAGACAATAAAGAGTAAACCACAATTAATTTTGATATTCTGTTGTATTAATAAAATAAAATAAATCAATTAGTACAGTTTATGACATTGTGTCTAGATGTCAATAAATGTTAGTATGCATATGTGACCAAATTTCTTGAGATGAATAAATCTTAACTTTAAATAAAAAAATGTTAAATAGAAAAATGTGGAATTTATGAGAGGTAGAGATACATAATACTACATTATTTTAAGTTTTTCATCCTTTAAAAATATTCCCTTGAATATTCTATATAGTTCTTTTTTGTTTCATTTATTCACTACACATAAGCTAATATGTGACAAACTATGTCATACTATATGAACAAAGACTGAATAAGACACACCTATACTAGTGTTCCTGTACTCCAAAAGGGAGAGACAGATAGCAAATGATTTCAAAAATTGTGTGGGGACTGTGTTACTTTTCTGTCATTGCTGAGACAAAATACCTGGCACCAAAAGTTAAAGGGGAGAAGGTTTATTTGGCTTATAGTTGATAGAGGTTTTAAATCCATAATTTGCTGGCTCCAAGGCAGGGATGGCCAACAGGCATTGCAGAGGAGAAACAAACAAGGTAGCAAAGACAAGAGAGCCTTCTGACTCTCTTATCCCATCCTGACTACACTCACGTGCAGTGGTTTAGTAGCCATATGCCCTTAATCCCATGATCACACATTCCAGATTCAGCTACCTCTTGACCACACGAGGCTTTGGGGGGGGACATCCAGACCCAAACCAGAACAGGAACCAAGGGAAAGAATGGTCATTGTGTTGGGTTGGGGAGGATAAGGTTAAGAAAGGACTTCAAAGCAGGATGAGCCGTGAATCGGACATTGGAAATGGAAAATTACCAGAGGGATTGCAGGAAAAAAGGTATTCTGAGTAAAGGGAGCAGAAAGTAAGCAAAGATTCTGAGGACTGAAAGAACATGACATATTTGAGATAAGGAAATAAATTGTCCATTATGTCTAATTGATAAGAGTATGGGGTTGATCGTAGAAAGAGGGGAGATTGTATAATGAAAGATGAGATTGAAGAAATGGACAGAGGCCCACCTAATGGAAAGTTTTAATTTTATCTTATAGATACCAGGTAGCTATCAGAGACTTTAAAATTAGGGATAGGTGATAAAATTTGGTTTTCAATAAACTTTCATGGCAGTATGAAGATGAATCACAATGGAGTAAATGAAATGGAGACAAGATTTCTGGGGTAATTTGGGTGAGGGACTTTGACAATCTGAACCAGAATGGTAGAGGTAAGGTGGAGAAAAGAAACTGAAATAGTAGAAATTTGGAAAATAGAAATGAGCAGGCTGTATTTTATAACATGTGGGGAGTGGAGAAAAGTGGGAATTGATGATTATAAGGATTATACTGAAGTTTTTAGCTTCATTATTTTGATGGATAGGTTGTGATGCCAATGATAGTAAATGAATTCAGGGGAGAGCAAATCTGGTGAGGGGAGAGGGCATACTGAACTTGGGATTCTTGATTTCTGAGAAATAATACCTGATTGGTTGTTGTATATGTGGATTGTCTTTCTATTCTCCTGGCATAGTCAAGGGACATTCTTTTACTCTTCTTTTCAAAGCCAGCTGTTTGGAAACTAGGAAAGCTATGACATTTGGCATGACTTCCATAAATTAAGAACTATAACTACTAAAAGTTCAGTCTTGTTAATATAAGTTTGCAACCTTTTATTAAGTGTTAAACTGGAATGGGGAAAATACTGTACATATAAAATTTAGTACTCATGTTATGTACTAAGTAAATACTAGTTTTCTTCCCTTAGCATCTTTTAAAATAGATACTGAAAACTTCAGATGTAATTGTAAGAACATGAAGTGAAAGTAAGAAAAATTTAAATTCTGTTTTCTAATACGTTCTTGTACTTATGTTTGGATACGTATTTTAATGTCTCCAAGCTATAATATAAAATTAGGCATAGATTAAATGATAACTTTGTGATCTCTTCTTCTTTCATAGTCCAGTGATTCTGTTATACCAAAAGAAAAAATATATATTTAAAAAGTTGCAATCAGCTTCAATATGAGCTCATAAGTATGAGGTAACATATGTAGGGAAAAATTTTAACCTACACTTAAACAATAAGAGTCTCTAAATTGTGACCTAAGAAATTTATAAATCACTGTACTGATCTTGAAGATATTCTCATATTCTACTACAGGTAAAGGAACCATCTAAATGTTGGCTAACAAAATAGTCTGCTTTAAACCTTAGCATATATGTAGTTGTGTTTTGCATATAGCAGAGCCAGAGAAAATTTAGGGGCAGCTTATATGAGTAAGAAAGTGGGAGGAATACTATATGAGGATAGATTAAAAAATAAAACTCTTCAACCTGGAAAAATAGGGGCTACATGAAGCATAGAAAATCAAGTGGAATAGGCAGAGAAAATTTGGAATTATTCACCCAAACTTCATACACTAGAACCTATGTACTATTCAAGACTTATAAAAGATAGTTGTAGTGTAAATGAAAGGAAGTAACTTGGTATTAACTGGGCTTTGAGAAAATATTTGACTGATTAGTCATCACTTACGTTTAAAAGTGAAAACATCAGTGCTTATAAGTTCAAGTAGTATTTTTAACAATTTAAAATGCTAGAAAAATTTAATACTCTTCAAAAACTGTGAGTTTTATAATCCCTCTGGGCTCCCTACACCTTTCAAAATAATCATCAATGTTCCTAAAATAGATCTTTTTCTTACTAATATTAACATTTACTACTATTATGCAAATAATACAGTTTCCCTTGATATAGAGGTATAGTTTAAATTCCATTTAGTGTATTTTTAGTGTATGGGATGGGGATAAAGAGTTGCCTTCTTGTAGTTCCTAGTTGAGTGAAAGATTTGGATATGTAAAAGCCCAATTATCATAATCTTGCAGGAAGTACAGTATAGGATATTGTCTGCAGTAATTTGTTTTCACTTTTCTGTTATGATATAAATTAGATTCAGTAATGCTCTGAGTCTAAGCAGGTTATTAATCAAATTTTGAATTATTTTAAAGACAAATGCACTAAGAGAATTGAAGAACTGGCATAATTGAAATTAGTTCTGCCTTAGAAACCCAGTGTAGATTGCATATCTTTTATCTGATTTGCTATAACAAGGTTTAGGACTCAGGCTTTATGACCATAGTTCTATGTTATATTTGGTGATTTCACTTAAAAAAATTTTATAAAATAACTATTGAATCTAAACCTTTAAGTTTTTGGCAAGTGTGCCTTTTCCGTGTGAACTTTGTCCTCATAAAATTAGACTGTTTTGAGATTTGATTTTTTTTAAGGCACTACTTTATAAAATGAGTGTTCAATTTCTGTACTGTATTATTCTTAAGTAGATTACCATGTATGAATAATGCTATGAATACTCTTGTGTGTGATTTTTGGTAAATATATGTGTTTTTATGAATATGTATTTGCTGAATATATTTTTATACACATACACATACATTGTGATGGCTGAAGCTTATTTTGACTAGATTAAGAGACTCTTGGAGAGGTAATTGGATCATAGAGATATTATACTCATCAGTGGATTAACATACTGATGTTGATGGCTGAAAGTGTAGCAGGTAGGGTCCAGGTGGAAGTTGGTTTTTGCGGGCATGGCAGTGGAGAGTATATTTCTTACTGGCACTTATTCTATCCTTTTCTGCTTCTTGGCTGCCATGAAGTGAGTAACTTTGCTCCAGCACATCCTTTTGCTGTGATGTTTCTGCCTTGGAGCCAGCCAACCATAAACTGAAACCTCTGAAACCATGAGCCAAATTAAACCTCTTCTCCATTTAGTTTTGGATGTCAGGTATCTGGTCTCAGCAACAAAAAGCTGACTGCTACAGAAAATTGGTACCAGAATAATAGACTCTGAACTGAAACCTCTGAAACCACGAGTCAAATTAAACCTCTCCTTCTTTATCTTCTGGGTATCAGGTATTTGGTCCCAGCAGCAAAAAGGTGACTAGTACAGAAAATTGGTACCAGAAAAATGGGATTGTTGCCATGACTATGCCAGACTCTGTAGTTCTGAAACCTTTAGAATATGGTTTGGAAGTGGAGCTTGGAATAATTTAGAGATATGGCCTAGACAAATTCTTGAATGCTGTAAGTAGAGATTGACAGGAAGTTCTTGTTTGAGTTCAGAAGGCCAGAATACTGATAGGAGTGCAAACAGTAATGTCCAGGCTCAGGAGATTTCAGATGGAAACTGTATTGGAAATTGGACTAGAGACCATGTATGTTTCATTCTTGCAAAGAACTTTTACATTTGCCCATGTTTTGAACTTTGTGGAAGGTTAATTTAAAGGCTGATCTGGTGGAGGAAATTTCAAGGTAGCTCAACATTCACGTTGTTGCATGGGTACTGCAGGCTGCTTTTAATCAGATTTATATTGAGCATCAGAACAAAAAGGAGAGTAGATTTGAAATACTTAAATTTTGACCTGAAAATTACCATGTATAAAGTTGGGGCCAAAGGAGGTATGATAGCTGTGTAATTAGCACCATTAATAAGAAATCAAGTACACTGAATGGGAACCTGACTTCTTTCTCCTAAGCCAGTTCCAGTAGTGACACAGGCTAGTAACCAATCCTTTAACATATGGACCTTCGAAGGACATTTAAAATCCAAACCAGAACATCCATATACACACAACCGGGCTACGTTATTCTCTAATTATGACAGTGTACTTTTTCCCCTTTCAATCATTATAGGTTTTTTTCCTTTGTCTTATTGCCCTGGTTAGGATTTTCAGTACAATAGTATGTAGAAATAATAACAGGCATCCTTGTCTTAATACTGGCATCATTGAAAAAGCTTTCAGTATTTTGGCTTTAGGTAAAAATATTTGAAGATACCTTTTATCTGATTATAGGAAATCATTTCTATTCCTGATATATAGATAGAGAGATATATAGATTAT